CACAGAGTTTGAAGCAGGGCCAACTGTTCTGCTAGGTAACAGGGGCCAGAGTACACAGAGGTCACCCTGGCTCTGTGTAGATGTCAGCTATTTACCACCCTCATCCCCCTCCCACAGATTACTCTTTCCATCTCAGGGCAAATATACACTTTTAGAGTATATGTAATTTCAATACCACCTAGCCCCTATGATATTCAATATGGTAAACCACTAGCTATATATGAATATTTAAATTTAATAAAATTTAAAATTCAGTCCCTCAGTTCCACGTGCCACATTTCAGGTGCTCAATATCATGTGTCACTAGACTATCATTTTGGAGAGCATATTTCCACCACAAAACGTTCTACTGGACAGGACAGATCTAACCCAAGCCCCCATAAATTAGAAATCTAAGGCCAGGAGAAGTTCAGAGACTTATCCAAGATCACATGGGTAGCTAAATGCACAATCTGTTCTGGAATTCAACCCTCCAGACTCTAGTTCAGAGATATTTGTTCTGTACTACTATGGCTTTAGGGCACTATTATTCCTTAAAACAATTCATCTCAAACAGCTGCAGACACTCCTAGTTGTTGGACTAAAAATGTATACCCTGATGTGGAGATAGGGACGCATAGCCTTTCCATGTATTTTTGTGCACATATATGACAAAACCTTTACCAAGTGCAAAAACTGAAAACTTTCTCCTCCTCACCAAATCATTAAGCTAGAATTCAGCTGTGGAGGATAAGGCCAAGCTTATCACAGAGCTTTTCACACCCTCTGGAATACAACAGAGTTGCACTCACTTCAGCTTCAAAAATGTGGTCTTATAGCACTACAACTTCTGTCTTTCTAATATTTTGGTAAAGAAGACCAGAGAAAAAGAATTTTAGAGATGTTGTAAGAGGGATTTCTACATGGAGTGGGATGGTGAACCTAGATAAATGATTATCAAAGCTTTTTTTTAAAACAGCAGAATCCTCTTCAAATATAGTTTTACAAAGGAGCTTAACATATAAATCACCCAAAAGTAGAACTGCTCTGGGTTGCATCTGGTTGGGTAGCAGAGATGGAAGGTTCAGTAGCTGTGGCACATGGGCTCAGTAGTTGTGGCTCGTGGGCTCTAGAGCTCAGGCTCAGTAGTTGTGGTGCACGGGCTTAGTTTCTCCACGGCATGTGGGATCTTCCTGGACCAGGCTCGAACCCGTGTCCCCTGCACTGGCAGGCGGATTCTTAACCACTGCACCACCAGGGAAGCTCTGAAACGATTCATTTTCAAGATGCCATAGTCATCTAGTATTGGATCCACGCTGACTCCAAGGTTTAAGCCATAGATTCTAACAACTTAAAAGCTGGATATGTCCTTATTGGTCATCTAGTTCAACTATACTTAAGAGATGAGGTAGGGGGCTTCTCTGGTGGCGCACTGGTTGAGAGTCCGCCTGCCGAAGCAGGGAACACGGGTTCGTGTCCCGGTCTGGGAAGATCCCACATGCCGCGGAGCGGCTGGGCCCGTGATCCATGGCCACTGAGCCTGCGCGTCCGGAGCCTGTGCTCCGCAACGGGAGAGGCCACAACAGTGAGAGGCCCGCGTACCGCAAAAAAAAAAAAAAAAAAAAAAAAAAAAAGAGATGAGGTAACTACAGTCCAAAGAAGTTAAGGAATTTGCCTAAGGTCACGCAACAATAGTGGCAGAGATACAGAGGTCTCCTGATTTTCACTCTAGGGCTCTTTCCACTATACCACAAATTCTGTCTAGAAAGCACATTTGCTGAAGTAAAATATATCACTAGTGATGGCCTTCGACTTAGTGCTGTAGTCTAGAAAGGAGAACCTGTAGCATTTCCTGGAATTCTTATCTAATAAGTCAGCTTTGCCTTTCTTTAAAATGCCGCAGAAGCCAGTAAGCAATTTTGCTTCAACAAAAGTATGTGTTTCCAGGACCATGGGTTAAGGTAAGATCTGTGAACCAGAAATAGACTTGGAACTTGTTATTTTGATTTGAAGTGAGGTGGGACAAAGTGAAATCGGGGGAATCAGACCTCTGCATAAATGCTAAGAATACGTCTTAAAAAAGCCAAGGAAGACACTCCAGGTTATACTTGGGTCTTCTTAATAGTCCTAAGGTTGAGCCTAGTTAAGCAGGATCTTTGTAGTGCTGGCTGAATCACAAACAGCATAAAAAGGAGATGGGATCTGCAGGACTTTCAAAAAGCCTCCAAGGCAAGGTTTACAGTGAGAGATAGGAAAGAAAGCAACAATGCAGGACAGGTAAGCAAAGAAATCAGGAAGAATTGAGGTCATGACCCCTACACCTGTTCTCAGCAAGGTGGCTCAGTTCTATAGGAACCGCAGGATCCTCCATTCCCCTCAGAGGCCAAGCATTCATAGCTTCTCTCTAAGCTGTAGGGGTTTTTCAGTTTGAAGACAGTAGTTTGCCAGGCAAAGAGACAGAAAGTATAAAAAGTTGGGGTAGCAGACAAAAAAACCTAGAAGGCTGGAAGGATTTTTTTAAAAAAGTATCTGTATATAGTTCTTATCATTAACTTGAACACTGACTCAGTACACTAGATCTTACAGATCTGCAGAGGATGATCTTTGCAGGAAATCTCTGTTTAAAGATGAAAAGGAATGTGAACCAGTTCTGATCCTAATTCAGACTTTTGCCCACAGACAGTTCAGGTGAAGGCCCTCTGGGATGGCCAGAAAGCAAAGTAGAGTATATCATTGCAGAACAGTTCTCTTTCCCTTGGGATGAAAGAAAAAGAAAAGAGAGGTAATAAGCCCTGAAATACAACATGATAAGTAGGAGAAAATATGGTATTAAATGTAGAGGACTAACATCTTACAGGTTTAAATAAGTTAGAGTGATCTTAAACTTGGTGAAAGTAATATTTATTCTGAGTTTCAGAGAAGGTATAGAATTCTGGAAAGTATCTGATTTTATAGTATCTATTAGATATATATTAACATAGATCCAGAAATGACAATGAGATGGTGTAAGCATCCATTCATTCAAATAAATATTTGTGAGGGCCTACTATAGATGCCAGCCATTAAGTACTGGGGATATAATGGTGAGCAAAACACAGTCTCTGAGCTCATCGAACTTTTGGAACAGTGGAAGAGATAGACATTATCAGAAAAATACAATTATATACAAAATTGCAAATTGTGATAAGTGCTGTGAAATAAAGTACAGGGTGCATTGAAAGTGTGTACCAGGGGAACTTGGTGATAGGCCACCAGTGACAACCAGAGAGTCTTTCAGAGCAAACGATTAAAAAAAAAAAAAAAAAAAATCTGTGCTAACATCCCCCTGGCAGGGAGGGAGAACAGGAATCCTCAGATAAAAAGGTAACCATTGTTCTCAGGAGTGTGAAAGGGTTATTAGCCTCACTCTCGCGAGTTTTTATCAGGTTCACATACATAAAAAGCATACTGCCCTTGGAGAGAGTCACTACGATAAAGATGGGAAGAATACAGTAAATTGGCAGAAAATTGATGTTTTCTATCTTCAATATATTGAAGCAAGAGGCCCTGAAGTTTGCTTGGTGGCACAGAGCTGTGATCTGGATATGTTTGTCATTCCAACAGACTCTGGCTGTTTAGATATTTGGCCATAGGCAGATGACATTTTTAAAATCAGAGATAGCCACTTGTGATTTCCAGATTGTATATTGTATACGCACATACAGAGTCAACCTCTAGGTCAACCTGTCTCTTTACTGCCTCTGCATCAGTTTCTAACACAATAGGATTATTTTCTTTTTCTTTTTGCATTATGGTCTCAGGCACACAATAAAACCTTATCAGCAATGCTATTCTGAAGGCTGAAACTTGACTATATTGCGAACAACGAGAGAGCCAAGAACACAGAGTTCTTAACCTGTATCACATCAGCACCTACTGCATGGAAAACCTTAAATAAATACTGGATCACACCAAAATATTCAGAGAGGCAGACTGGTTTTTATTGAAATGACTAGAATGAAATGCCTGAATTTCCACAGGCAGACTGGTAAGATTGCTTATGATCATCAGAGATAATTAGCTGTGCTCCTCTGGGCCTCTAAACTCCTCAGAGTGGGGATGCTTTGAAAGCCTGGTTACTAATGCAGAGACATGATGCAACTCTGAGGGCCAGCCTCTCTAACCACACATTCTTTCACAAGGACTTGGATTCTTTATAAAAGGAAGGTATACTGAAATCAAATTGCCGCAGATGGTACCAAGGGATCTGAAATACCTGGTTAAGTCCCTTTGTGCCCCTAATTTTTCAGGTTTACAAACTTTCAAAGCAGAAGAGATTCTGTTCTCAGGGGCAAGTAGAACATACAAGAAGTCTGGATGGTAGCCTTGGGCAGCAGCACCCTACAGTGAGCCAACTGCTTAGTGGATGCCTGAAAACAAGACCATGTAAACAGTTCCCTGTTGCCTAGGCCTATAAAATCTGTACTAAGTGACAGATGCGTAAAGTGGCGTGCGTGGCTGGGCAATGAGGCAACCAGTGGGAAGGAGCTGGCTGCACCTCCAGGTGCTAAAAAAGGCAAGAGTTGCATATCCAATGAGCCAACACTAAGTCAACTTAGGGGTGAATGTTTTCCATTTCCTTGACTCCCACGGCTGCCCTTTTATTACTTTTTCTCTTCAAGCCTGACCCAAAAGTTCATTTATATTCCTATTCTCCCATATAAAATGATAGGGAAATGGAGAGTGAGTATAGACACAGTTTGAATTACTGCATGGCCAGCACCTATCAAATGACTGCTTAAGTACCAGGGCCAACACCGTTGAATAGCTATGAGGGGGAGATAATTAATTTAAAAAACTGGCAATCTCTAGAAGCTAGGCAATTTTACAGACAAGTTTGCTACAATTCTCTGGGTAGGTATCACCAGAAAGCTATGGTCATTTGAGACTCCTAATAAATACTAGGTATTATTTATAACAATAAGCCCCCTGTTGACAGAAGCAGGTTGAGAAGGGATGGGAAAGCCACACATAGCACTTACCATCTTCTGTTTCCTGCCACACGATGCCCTCAAGGTTGACGCTTGTCCCAGGTTCGCAGGGGCCCAGGCACTCGGGCTCTGTGGCCAGAGCCACATCGCATGTGTTGACCCCAACTGATCGGGTACGAACCATGATCTGCTCACAGGGGGATGCGATGTCATTATTGACCACTGGCACCAAAAGGTGCAGTGGCAGCACTGCTGGTGTGGAGACAGGGGACTCCATCTGTGGGGGAAGAGAAAGTAGTAGCTGAGTTGCAAGGAGGATATTTATAGGAAATAACTTCTCTGTATTTAATCTAGTCCTACATCCTTTTCTGCCAGAGTGCAGAGGGCTTTAAATATAAGACTTTGGTCCTCACTTTCAAGTTCTAGCTCATGACACCATTACAAATCTAAGTGGTTTAGATGAGTGCACCCTGGACTAGGAGAAGCTCTATTTCTTATTAACAACCCTCCTCATAAACTGTGCGTGGCTAAAAGTGTATTAAAAAACTTGTCTCATTTAAACATCTCTAGTGAAAGAGAATCAGGGCCCGACTTCAACGGCAAGGGAGCACACAGACTGATGAGAAAGAAAAGGCTCAGCTTCTGAGGCATGTTCTACTGCTACCACTTTGCTTCCCTCCCATCTATCATTCAACAAATAATACATTAATCAGGTACAAAATCCAAGAATACAGGTAAAGAAAGGGAGAAACATCCAGATCCTAGGAATGCCACTTCAGGAAGACTAGAGCTTTAATTCTTCTTTGGGTAGAAGGAAATCTACTTAAAAGTTACAGGAGGGCTGGGAGCAACCTGTCGGGGGGTTTCTAACCCACAGAGATTATAACAGCGATTGGCTAATGAGAATGGCCTTTCGGAGTGTGAATCTAACATCAAGTGTACATGTAAGAAACAGGAGGTACTATTACTATCCAGAAACCAATCTATAGCAGTCTATAGTCAAACACAAGAACCAGCAATCTACCTCAAAAACTAGACCCTCTCACAAGAATGCAATTACTTAGACTCCAAGAAGAAAGCAACGCATCTAGAGTTAAAAGAAAAATTGTAATAAAAGCAATAATCCCTTAATTCTTTAAACCCTAGCATTTATCAGGTTGACAAAGTACCAACTCTGAGTCAATACTGCCCACACCCTAACTAAACAGTGTCTGGAATATGCAAAGGCACTCAATACACACACTGACTGATCTTCCCTGAAGATTAAGTATGATACCAATCAGAAGACCTAGAAAATAAGAGTCAAGGATTGGGATCCTCTTACCCTTGTGAAAGACCAGGTTGAATGTACTCCTTCAACAGACCCACATTGAAAACAAGGCACACACGCACCCATAATCCAAGCTGCTGGACAGCTCTGCAACAGAACTCTGGTTCTGAAATAGTTTACTGCATGACCACCACTCTATCTATAATCCATCTCCCTCCTTTTAAACACATACGCGCGCGCGCGCACGCGCACACACACACACACACACACCCCTACACCTTCCTGGCCTCGAACACTACCCTGGAAGCTGAGATCAGTGTACTGCATCCATTCTCTACAGGGAGCTCTCTGACTTCTTGGCTTACAAGTCAAGTGATGGTATTTGCAGACCGTCACTATCAGAGTTCACAGAATGCTAGAACACTGATTCTGGTCAATTCTGGTCCCTGAAAAGCTGCCAAAACCTTATCTGTTTGTTGTTACACACATCCACCCAGTACTTCCCTAACTCCACCCTTTTCATAAAATGGAAGTGGAAGCCTGTCTAATGAATCTTCTGCATAATGGCAAATGCCAAAAGGCATTTTTGGTCTTTTGTACTCTTGAAAATCAGGCATTTATAATCCAATCTGGCAAACTTCTTGGGATGTGGTAGATGCCTGAAAAACCCTTTAAAATTTCTAAGCACAGATTTGAAGGTGAAAACAACAGAAAAAATAAACTGGATTTCCTACTACTCCTGTGTAGTGCTGGACTCTGGCTCCATCATTAAGCCCTCTCAGGAATGCTATAAGAAGGTGGTTCATTAACTCTTTGGAAAGAAAGGTTCCTGGAGATTTTACCCGTGAGAGTTACTAGAAAGGGGAAATCAGAGACAGAGCATACAGACCATCTTTACTCTTAGCCTCACCTCTGTTTCTTGGTTCTTTCTCTTGGGGAAGACCTAAGACAGAAGCAACTTCACAGTTATTATGTGCATTTCCTTTGCTTAAGAGTTTGTTCCCTTTTCTATACCTTTCTTCTACTAGCAAGAGAAATTCCTGCAAAGTCCTCTTTCTTGGACAAATAAATTGGCCTGAACCTTTTAGGTCACCCCTGTGAACTTTCTGATCGCCTCGCTTAAGCAAGTCCTATTGCCAACCTGTCCCATCGTTGAGGCAGCAATCCTAATCAGAGAAGGCGGTAAGTCCCCAGGGAGTCACCTACACACTCTGCCATCAAGGACAGCTCTTTTCTGTAAGTGGTTTCATTTCCTGTTAGGTTATTCAGTGCTGCTGGGAGGCCAGGGAAAAGATAAGCTATTAACATCTAGACAAAGCTAAGCTCCCAATTCTATACTAAGAGACCCAGAAAACAACATCTAAGATATAAGTAAGTACAAAACACCACTGTTGCATTCAAGCAGCTTGCCAAATTAAACCCCGCGGTAAAACATCTGAAGAGAAGAAACTTAGCTGAACTGATCACTAAGAATAACAGATCTAATACACACGAGGAGCTGATTAATGTGTGTATGCATCAAACCACCCTTACTGATCAGAGTTAAGTTACTAAGTAGAGTTCAGGATCTCTGTTTGTGTGAGGATGACTTTATTTAACTATCTGATCAGTTAAACGAGATTTCTGAGGGTGAGGAGAAGTGAGGAAATCCACCTATGGATGTGGAACTACTGTTCAGTTCCCTTCTACTTTGCAAAAGAAATCTAAGGAGCAACACAATAATGTTTAATTACAGATCTAGCTCTGCTAATTACTGTTTGGTCACATCTATAATCTACATTAAGCCATAGTGCATAATAAGCAGCTCTGTGATATTCATCTAATAACCTAGGTGGCTTTGTGGGATTTCAAATTCTACTATTCATAGGAACAAACAGCTTCATTTAACACTCTCCAGGAGAGGATAAAAATAAAAAAAGGACTCATTTTGCCATCTTTCCTGTATGCCTAGGATATAAGAGCAGGGATTGTCAAGAGACTGATGCCAGCAGGGAAAATAAGGAATAGAAATGCGAAAAGTTAAGGTCATTAAATACCTTAACAACTATGACAATGATAAAAGCTGGGCCAATTCTCAGATTCTGAAATGCTAAGAAGTGCCACCATGGCTCCTGGGGCTCACTGAAATGGGAAGGTAAACAACAAAACAAAACAAAACCTGAAAAGAGACAGAGAATTTAAAGATGGAGATCTCTGAAGTTTCCCAATATTTCATGTCCTTTATTTTTTAATGATACTTCTTTTCAATTCACCTTTAGATATTAGTCTAATAGCACTCCCACACTTGAGAGGCACTAATGGAGAAAAAAATTTCAAGGCGGCAACATAATTTTAGGGGTAGAAAATGTAGCAAAGAAATATTTGAGACAGACTCTCCCCTTCACAAATATGAGTCTGATATCTTTACCTTCACAGTCAAAAGGCAGAAAAGGAGCTGGTTCGACTGATAACTGCAGTAGCTCTAAGAAACTCCCTTTTATTCAAGAGTGAAAGATTACTGGGGATCATGGTTAGATGAATGTTCACATTTATCAGGAAAGACTGTGCAGAAAGTAGAATGTCATCAAATATACTAAATACTATATTAATAAGAAGTTCTCTTTCTTCAATAATTCCAAAGATCCTTCAAGATTTTATAGTGACTTGGCATCAGCAACACTAACAGTAATATACGATCTTGATTGATGGACAAAATATAAGTACTCACCCTGATGTACTATAGTAAACTTGATTTGCTCACAAAATTTTTATTGTGGGTTATTAAAGAAAAAGGTAATTTAAAAAATCCCATTGTTATTTATATTTCTCTCAAATTAAAACACAGGGGATAAAACACTCAATTGTTTGAACTGCCTTCTGTTGATTGGCAATTTGAGACAAAATAAGTTCACTGTATTCTTTTTTAATAATTTAGGATTATTTTTGCTTATTCTGAAAGATCTTTATTATGAGAGGCTGGAGGGTGGAAATCATGGAATAACTGAAGACGGAGGCAGGAATCTGAATTCTTCCTCTCCATGAAGCTCTTGTCAGGAAGCAACAGAATATTCCGAGTAAATCTCTAAAGAGCTTAACATTTAACTACTAGTGAAGGAGGAAATCAGTCCCTTTTCAAACACTAAGTACCTTTCCAAGTGCCTCTCCAAGAAAAAAGGAAGAAAGGAAGGGAGGGAGGGAGGAAGGAAAGAAGGAGAGGGGAGAGGAGGGGAGAGGGGGAAAATGAGGCTTGCCGGTTTCCTGAGCTTCCAGATTTCACTTGGGCTGCTTTGAAGAAGAATTTGGTTGTAACTCTGGTTAATTTCCCAGACATTTTGTAGTAGAAGACAAGGAGGTAAAAGAGAAAAAGAAAGATGTGGTAGCTGGCACCATAGCCAAACATCAAATAGTTCTAAAAAGCTACATATCCTATTATTCAAAGAAGACTTACTTTAGCATTCAATTTTAACCAATCATCACCTGGTCAAGGTCAGCAGTGAAGGCTGTTCCAGTGTGTACTATAAAATGCAAGTGCAGTGAACACATAATTTAAAGACTACAGATTAGCCACAGGGAGTTCTCCGAGATGATCCCTATAGAGTCTCAGGCTCAGACCCTAAAGACTCTTCTGGTAAAGAGAAGGAGATGGCAGATCAAATGATCCTAATATTCAAGCCTGTCTAAAACTCCCAATGTGTGGGACTGAGTAAATTATGCTGGAAATTGAACAAAGGAAAAAATCTCATAAGCAAAATCAATGCATAACATAAATCACATGGCAGTGTCCAATACTGTGCAAAGGCTTTTGCTGAATGAAGCATCTCTTTTGCTCTTTCAAATCTTCTCACTCTACAGTCTCCTGCCTGCTTGAAATGCACCACATTTTCCTTCAGCAAAACTATTAACTTTGTAGCTGATGAGTAACCATAGGGACCTAAGTACTACCTACCTCTGAAACTGACTACATTTTTTTTCCACACAAGGTTGATGATGCCTCCTCCCATTCCTACATTCTTCCAAAGGAAGCACTA